AAAGCTAGTAAATTGGTCTTTGTTATTTTGCCTGAAAAGGCTGTTAAAGGTTAAAATAATAAACTCAAATTCAGAGCTATTGGAGGATTTGGTGTTTATGATTTTTCAGAACAACAATCGAGAGACCATTGGGGTGAGTTTCAGCTGCCTGGAGGCCCAGGTAATGACCCTCAGAGTCACAGTGACTTGTTTAGGGTGCCTGGAATGCCTATGGACTTGTGGATACTTGGGGTTGAAATAATTTTGTGTGTGTGTGTGTGTGTAAATGTAGGAAGGAGAGGCAGGAGGAAGTGATCCTTATCGATTCTGACCCTTGTCTGTGAACCTCTGGAGTGGCCCTAAGCTTTGAAGGGGAATAGTGAAGAAAGGGGCTAGTATGGGATACTCAGTTGGAGGACATTTTTGCAGGAAGCACAGCGCCTGCTATATCTAACATATGGCTGTTAGTGCTGCCTGCAAAGCCACCACTCTGGAACGGGACTCAAGTACCTTTGTGGGAGATCCATTCCGTTTACTATAACCCCTCAGGAAGGATAAGGCATTCACTGCTAGAGTTTTTGCCTAGTGGTGCAAACCACTAAGTTTCTGATTTTTTTCTAAATTTTCCAAAGTAGTAAAGCAAGTCAGGATTGTAGCAAACTGTTCTGTGAAGTGTTTCATTCACTGGGGATGAGAGACAGGTAAGGAGTGTAAGAAAATAAAGGAACTAATACAATTAATTTCTCTGCTGTTTGCTTATGGTTTTAGTCCTCAAAATGTTCTCTACTGTATTCCTGCAGGGGACCCTGAGGTATTTGCATCCCTGGAAATCAGGGAGGGGGTGTCATCTAAATCTTGTCTGCAACCTGATGACTGTAGCCTAGAAATTCATAGGATGTTTGCTTTTGCTGATATTTGTAGTGGTATAAATACACTTATAATTCTTTCTTTCAAAATTCTAGAGTCAACTGACACTTTAGGACCATACCCTGTTTATTCTGTGGTTTCTCCTTCCTTGGAGCTGGCTATGTCTCCTGTTCTAGTTTGAGAAGAATAGTTCTAGAATATCCCACTGTTCCTAGATTGAGTGAGAAAGAGGCCGCTATAGTCCCACATGAATGGGGTGGGAAATCACACTTTCTGGCTCCTATCTCTTCTTCTAATTCAGCTGTGGGCTGCCTTCTCCAGCTTCCAAATTTAAACGGTAAGAAAAGGAAACTGCTGTCAAGATGTTTCTTACTCCTTCTTATGATTGGGATTGAGGGTCCCCTAAAATACGAGGGAGAAAAAGCAAGAATTCTCATTTGTTAAAAGAAAAAGAGGAGATGACAGCAGATGGCCCTTTGTGGGAACATTAATAAAATCCAAGATGGTAGCCCAGCTTGGCAAGATAGCAGCCTCAGGAACTAGAAAAATCAAGGCTTTTCAAATGATATGATGAGGTTCAGATGATGGATGATTCCCTTTAGTAGCTGTGTGACTTTGGGTGTGCTACTTAGCATTCCTGTGTTTCCATTGCCCTCCTCTTTAAAATGGTTAAACCTTACTCTGGATTGTGGTGATTTAGTAATTTATATAAAGCCCTTTGCACAGAATGTGATTAATAGGTGTACAATAAGTACTATTTTCCCTTTCTCTATTTAAAGAGTAATAAATTTAAAAAGACTGCTCCAGACTTGTCCTCAGTTTTATTCTTAATTGGCTGTATGAACATGGGCAAATTGCCTGACCTACTTTAGCCTGGGTTTACTTGAGTATGAAATGAGAGGATCAGCTTAGGTGATCTCCAGTCTCCCTTGGTTCTGAAGGCGTGTTTCCAACATTTGCCTGGGAGGCAGGGTTGAGCATCTTAGTTTTCAATGACAGGTTGTTTAAAGGCAATACAGGTTTCTCTGGGGGCTGTGAACCAGTGAGAGTTCTCATCCATGCATTCCAACTCCCTCAATGACACCACTCCCCCCGCATACATCTCACCCCAACTCTTTCTTGTAAGCTTAGCTTAAGTGGTCCAGGCTTCCTGAGTAGGGTGTGCTTACATCTCAAAGAAAGACACATTTTGTCACCTGAGCCCATGATCCCAAGGGGTCAATGACAGTACCTAGGAGAGTGCCCTCTAGTAGGCTTTGAAAGAGTTAAATATTTCTGAATTTAGCATTAGCCTGGCTTCATAGCCCAGATGATAGGGAGCTATTTTATTAAGTTAATAGAAGAGGGCTGAGGAACAAGAGCTGTGTTATTTGGATACTCTGCAATAGCCTTATTAAGCTTGTAGATGGAGGGAGGATTTCCTGTCTGGAGAAAATGCAACTCTGTCCAAAGACTGTGAGGTTTGCCAAGGACATTTGGACAATGAGGTGCTGCAGGTGCAATGAAGTCATGTTTCAGGCATGGATTGACCTTGAAAAATAAATCAGAAATGCTCAAGATGACAAATCAAGCTGTGCTTGTTGATGAAGGAAAAGTGAGGTTGAGGCAAGATGGGTTGAGGAAGCAAAAAAAGTCCTTTTGCTTCATGTTTTCTGTGCAGTAAGGTCACAGGTAGCTCATATCTTAAGTGAAGGGAGCAAATTGAGAGGAGCTTTGTCTGGAGGCCAGAACTTGAGAAACCGATGCTGGCACCTTTACCACGGTCACTCATACCTTCACTGTGAGACCATCTATAAAGTTTGCTTTTATTCTTCAAGAATCCACCAGCTTCTTTGATTTAACTTACAATTTTTTCCTTTCCCTAGCTGTTTCTCAGAGCTTGAAGAACACAAAACTGGCTTAACTAAATCCAACATGAATATAGTTAGAATGAGTAGAACCATTCTTTCCAAATGGACCTGAGCCCACACCAACACATCCTCTGAAAACACATCAGAGTTTCTTTCCCTACTTAATTTTAGAAATTGTCATTTGTCCTGTGAATTTTCATTTGGACTGATAGTGTCAAAATGCTCCTGTATTAATATGAGAGACATTATCACATATGAGATGGTGTTGGGAAGCAGTTAGTGTCAGGAATTTGCTCAAAGGACCCGGCAACACAATAAAGAGAGGCTATAAGGCATAACCATAAGCTAGCCCTGTCCCCTTCTGCTTTGCTATCTGGATGAACACAGACTACCCAGGGAGGATAAGTGGAGCTTACTACTCAGCTACTAGTATTTGAATGAGAGGTTAGTCTCCAGACCTCACAGATCTACCCAAGCCTCTGAGGCCCTAAGGCCCTTCTTGGAGGCTTGGCAAGTTTGAGGTAAGCCAAAACATTATCTTACCTTCAGTGGGATTGGGCTTTCAGTGGAAATTGGGCTGCATTTCAGAGAGTCCTTGTCAAAGTTTGAGAGTAAGCAGTGGGATATAAATAGAGATGGGAAATGATCTCCCTTCCCCCTACTTGGGAGGGAAAACATGTAACCAAAGAACAAGATTGAGTGGGAGACCTTGGTGAGCAAGTATTTCTAAATGTGGCCACTAGCTGCTCCTTTTCAACCTCGCAGCTTGCTGTGGGTCCCATTTTTCTTTTTCTAGAGAAAAGAACAAAGAAGAACCCATCAAACCTTTCTCAACTGATGCTTTAAAAAGAACTCTTTGAAAACATTCCATAATGACTTTTTGTCCCTGAATCTGTAGTTCTGTTCTGAGACTAGATTTTAAAGGTAAAAATGTGTTTAGAATTGTTTGATTGGCATCGAGCTCTCATTGGCATATGGCTCACTGGCAAGGCAACTTGAGTTCTCCAAGTTGAGCTTTGAAATAGGAGTTTTCCATTTGCATGGTGATGATTGGTAGAAGGAAACAGACTGCTAAGGGTTGGTCTCATCTCTTTATGAGTGGTAGAAATGTGGAGCTGGTAGGTGAAAGGAAGGGGAGATTTAAGTATTTGTGGAAGCTTGCTCTATATTTCTCTCTTGCCATGTTGTTGTCTTACAAATGTCCTATACAAATTAGCTCTCCTATACAAATTTTAGACAAATTGGTATGGTCTGAGATCATCTGGAACCAGAACCTTGCTGTTCTCAATTCCCCATGTTTTACAAGGGCTTTAGTAGGTGGTTCTGTACGCCTACTAGGTGGTCATTCTCAGCAAGTCCCCTGCAACCCATTAAATCCAGTCTGAAGACCAGCAGCACTTTGCAGGTCTGTCATCCCCAGTGCCAGGTCCTCATAGCTAATCTCTTTACCTTCCGAAAGTAACCCTGGAAAATGTGAATTCAGTATGTTGGAAACAATCTTTCTATGACGGGGCATGCAAAGAACTGCCTACTGCCTAGCTCTTGACTCTAGGCAATGAATTTATCATAATTACTAGTAGCTGGTTCTGTTGTTTGTTTTTGTTGTTACTTGGTTTTTGGTGTAAGTATATATTCTGATATGTCTGTAGTTAGACTGCCTTCTTGACAAGGCCCACTTCTATTCATTCTGAGTCCCTTATGGGAAACTTTGGTGCTTAGGATGAGTGTTAAATAATGCTGCCTGCTTCCTCTCAGGCAAGCACCAGAATGTGGCAGGAGCAGATAAAAAGGAATCAGTTAAGAAGCTCAGAAGCAGAATCTTAGTTAAGAAGCTCGGTGAAGTTAAGTCAGTCAAATTCAGAAATTTGGAGTCAAGATGGTCATGGATGTTGGGGAGACAGTGGACTGAACAGTATTTTAGAAATGGGGAAAAATGACTGCACTTAACAAAAGGAATCCATTAATCCTTTTACAGAGGGTTGGATGAGCTGATCTTTGAAGTACCTTTCTTACTTTCAAATTCTTTAAAATGAATCTAGGCGATGGTGCTCGTACTATTTATAAAAAATGTTCCACAGGGTATAATGGTTCCTCTGAAAGGCAGGTTTCAGTTTCCATTGATGTTTCTTGATTTTCCCTGAAACTGGCGACAGTCTTGTTCCACTTCAGGTCCCTTGATGAAGCTGGCTTTACTGGCACACCCAGGCTCGCGTTCCACTTTCACACATGTAATGGCTTCAGTTTCTTCTGGTGTTGTTTTCTTCTGGTGTGTGTGTGTGTGTGTGTGTATGTGTGTGTGTGTGTGTGTGGTGTGCGTGCATGCGTGTGTGTGATGGTGTGCTTGTATGTGTGTTTGTGTGTGTGAAAGAGACTTCTGAATCAGTACCTTTTATTCCTCCCACCCTCCCTCCATCTCTCCTTCCCTCCCTCTTTCTCTCCTTTCTTCTTTTCCCTTTCAAGAATTCTGATGAGTTTTTCTTACTCAGTTGTGCTCTTACCAATGCCAACTTTGACTCAGCTTCTTGTATCACAAAAATTAGCATTATTGACTGCTAAGGCTGAAAGGAAGTTAGAAATCATTCTGGTCTAACCTCTCATTCAAACTGAGACCTAGAGAGGTCATGTCCAAAGTCATGTAACTAGCAAGGTGGCAGAGGTGGGCCTACACCACAGCTCTCAAATTCTTCCTCATTCAACGTGTGTGCCTCCAACTATTTATGGTTGATCCATCTCTAGTTAAATCTCATATAATGTTTAGGCTTCTCTTTCTTCCTCTTTCTCTTAGCTTTTTGAATTCTATGTTGAACTGAGAAATAAGAATGCCACCTACATTTTTTGATCCTGAGTGTGTCAGTTGGTCCATAGCACAAACATGAAGAAGGCTTGTGGCACCTGCCACAGGGAGCATGCCTACATAAAATGGCAAACTGACTTCAACCTCATAATATCAAGCGTGATTACCAGCCCAAGGGGACTGTCCCTTCTGATTATCAAAGCTTGGTTAGACCGTGGCTGTTTCTATTACAAAATACCAACTTATCCAGTAACTAGTTTTCAGAGATACAAGATGCCCCAGGGCATCTTGTGACAGACATGGGCCTCATATTATACAGAAGAGGGGCCCTAGGGAAGGGTGAGGATAGGGAGAAGGCAGCTGGGGAACTGGGTGCAGTTGAGCAGATGCTGTGGGAAAGGCTGACTGGCTTTTGATTTGAGGAAAAGCTTAAAGGTCAAGGATTCTACAACCTCCAGCTCCCCTGGGCTTAAAAATCAAATCATGTGTGTGTGTGTGGTGGGGGGGAGGCAGCACACCTCATCACACGGGAGATACGCTCTCCTCTCACCTTTGGATTTGTAGATGTAGTTTCCTCTGGCATCTTTAATTTTTCCTCCCAAAGCAGAATAATAAAAGATGGAGAAAGGTTTTTCACTATTTCACCTCATTGAGGGATCATTTCTGTTTCCCACAGGATCAAAACAAATAAACAAAAACCAAAATCAAACAAACAAAAAAACCAAAACATTCTACCTCCTCCCAGAATTATCAGCCAGGGGAATGGCTAGCCAGCTGTATAATCTCCTGACTCTTGCTAAGCCACCTATACTAAGGAAAGCCGGCAGGGAACAGAAATATAGGTCTTCAGCTTGGACATCAGGAAAAAGAATTCATGATATATCAGATCAGAAATGTAAAAAGCAGTACTAGGTAAGATCTGTTTCCAACGGGACCAATAGACTTGCACAGCAGGCACCAGGATTTCTTCTGTCCTTTCTTCAATGCCTGACCCTAACATGTGAGTAACAAAATGCTTCCTCTTTTCTTATGACCAAAGGAAGTTATTGACTGACCGAGGATGGGAGCAGTGGCTTAAAACCCACAGGGGCACAACCCATAGCCAGAAGTAGGCATAGCCTTGGAAACTAGAGTCCAAAACAATGGTTGGGTTGGTGGGTCTGTAGACTCTAGGGTAGAGTCTAAGGGAAGAGTTGAATAGGGCTACAAGAGAGATCACTCTTCATGAAAGGGGTCAGAACATGAGAATCTTTAGCCTTTTTTCAATGTGCTTGGGCTGTTGGGTGAGATTGTGGTAGATGTCTTTTCTCTTAAGGGAAGACTGGCCAAGTTCCCTTGCTGAGGTTCCTCTGGGTTGATGTGATCACCTGGCCATGGATGGCTATGACCAGATCACTGTCTAAGAAGGGGGGTAGAAAAAGAAGGTGTGTGCCTGTTGCCACAGCAATTTGTACTCCATGGCTGGCCTTTGAACGGCTCTCTTAAATGCCCCACTTTTCCTCCTTTGTGGGAAAGGAGGGCATGGCTAGGGATGACTCTTTAGGAGAGAGCATGTAGCCTGAAAGTCAGGCTCCAAGGCAGCAGAAACTATGAGCAGATGGTGATTAACTGATCCCTGCTTCCTTCAGATACTTGGCACATTACTGTTGCCCCTCCCCCCTTGTCTCATATTATAAAATACAAACATATGACAGAAAAGATCATTTGGCTGGTGGCTGCCCACTACTCAGAATTTCAAGGCTCGCCGTTTCCTCCCTGATGTGAGACGGTGGTTGTAGGGCCTCATCTTCATTTCTACAAAAGGGATGGAGAATTCATGGCCTTTCCAGTGGTACCAGTTGATCCCCTGGGTGTAAGAAAGACGAATATGTCAGATCATCCTTTCCCCTGGATAGAACACCCTGCTTGAAAAGGAGAATGACAGGAGCAGGAGGCCATCCTGTGGATTTAGCTGTTTTCAGTTAAAAAGCAGCTTTGGGGCTGAGTTCCCAGGATGGTAAAAGGAGCTAGATCTCTTTCCAGCTTTCCCTTTAAACAGACCAGAGGTCTAGATCTTTATCGAGGGCAAATTGCAGGTCATTTCTTACTGCCAGTTTTATGTTTTTGACTTTAGGTGTTGCCCATACCAAGGGACAGTGGTGAATGTCAAAATCCCAACTATGTGGAAATATTTTGAAGAGTGTTATCTGAGGTCATTCCCAATGGGGAGACTCAAGTGGTTTCCATATGGGGTAACCAGCCTGTGGTGTTTGCCAGGAACTAATAGGGCTTCCCTGAGTGTGTCCCAGTTGGACCAGCTGCCTCTGTCACCCAGCCCAGACTATGGACTTGCAGTCTCTTAGGGAAAGATAGCCCAACTTACTTAGGTATTTCTCATCTCTCCCTTCTCAGGGTACCATTAAGTCTATGACACTGTCCCATGACTTGGTGAACTCTTCTTGCAAGGAATAGGAGCTACTGTCTGTCAAGTCCTCTAGAGTGAGACTAGCTTTCCTTTCCTTCCTTAGGCTTCCTCTTAGATGGGTCCTGATTCCAGCACCTGCATTATTTTCTTCTTTATGGTAGCCCTTTCTCAGCCTCAAGGCACTTCTTTTTAAAGGAGAAATGTGCATCAAAATGTAGAACTAAGGGTCTTGGTTCCTGTGCTCTGGGTCATTTTGACCACAGCAAAGCACTGCCTACCTGACTATGCCTGGACTCCCCGTACTTCCCGTTGAGGTTGGTCCGGTGGCAGTTCTTATACCACCAAGCACCCTTGTACGACATGGCACAGTTGGTGACAGCAACATCGTTGTCTCTGTCCTCAGTGGAGAAAGGGCGTCCTTGGTGATAACTTAGGGAGTCTCCTGCAATAAAGAACATTCGAGAAGCTGTCCCATTTGTTGTGGACATTTGGTTTCCACATATGGAACCTGGTTACCTTTCCTATACCACTTTGAACTTCAGCATGGCTGTGCTGAGTGCTCCTGCTTTAACCCATGGGGGTCACTATTTCCATGTTTATCTCTTCAATCTATTTCCTCACTACTGAGTCTTCACTATTTCCTTCACTACTCTGTCTACATAGATCCATCTTAACACCCCTGTTAACTCCAGGCTCGCCTGGGACACGGAACACTACGTTCCCATCATCTCCACTGGAGACAGTGAAGAGCCACGATGCCTTGGACCGTTCACGTCCTCCACTGTAGGCTCAGTCTGACTTTCCCTGCAACTTATCAGCCCTGGTCAGACTGCATCCAAAATCCCACATTGAAAACCAGTGTTGCTCTGAAGAGGGACAATAGCAAACTAGAGTTCTAAACTACAGCAAACAGGATGATGAAACATCATAATCACGTCAAAAGGGAAGTGGGTGGGAGAGGGGCTGTGTCTTAGGGAAGAGTAGATCTACTGGGGAGAAAGGGTCTATGGTAACTATTGCCAAATATCTGATGGGTAACTGAGAAAAAAATATAAATGAACTTTCTGGAGAAGTGTGAGAATTAGTAGGTAGAGACTGTAAAGAGGCGAACTTTGGCTAAATATGAAAAAAGACGTTACCTAATATTATGGGACAGGCTGCTAACATTGTGGTGAGATTTCTATTCTCAGAGGCAAATAGGGACTGGATGTTCTCTTGTTGGGGATGTTGTACAGGGATGAACTGAGTGTTTGAGAGGAGAGATCAGACTATCATTCACTTATAATAATTGGTGAAGCTTTTATCAGGACTTTTGTCCAGGGATGTTGGGAAGGACACTCATACTACTTGCTGAGTGAAAGTGATCTTAGATGTGTCTGAGTTTGCTTTCCCCTAGACAGGAAGTAGTTTTGACCCTGTGGCTTCTAAGTTCTGCTCCTGGTGGCCACTCAGTGCCTTCCATGTATCATATCACTACTCAACTCTTGACTAATAGTTTCTGTCTTATAGGGAAGTCTTCACCTCTCGTGGGGAGTCCCTGAGGCAGCTTGCCCTTGCCTCTACCATCTCATCGCCTTCTAGTCTTGAAGGATTCAGACTTTGGACCCATCTAGAACTAAGTTCACTACCTGCTACTGATTCTTTAAAACCTCTTCTTGGTCTTGAAAAAGGCAGAAAAGATGTCTTACTTTTCCCTCCAAAATATTAATTTCATCTCCTATCATCCCAAGCCATACTCATATCCCTTGTGTAAAATATTCTTGGATTAATTTTATTCCCAGTAATCTTTGATCATCAAGTTGCAGGCTATATTGTCTCTACCCACATTCCTATTCTCATGCTCTGCAATCTAGGGTTTGTCCTCATTGTCCTCCTGAACAAACCTCTCTGGATCCCATTTTGGTGTTGCCTCCCTTTATCTCCCCAAATCTCGTTTCCCTCCTCATTTCTGCTTCCTATATCCACCTCGTATATTCAGGTCATGAACTAAATAATGGTGTTCTCCCTTGAGCCACTGTTCAGGTTCACACCTTTCTCTTAGCCCTGACGTTAGTGAAGGCCCCTGTTATCTCCTATCAGGATTAATCTGGCAGCTACCCATTGGTTTCTCTGTTCTTCACTCAGATTTACTTTATCTTACCTGAGGCTGTTCTAGTAATCTTCCTGAAACTCAGCTTCCACCTATGCCACACAGGACTCACAAGGACTCCATACTCCCCACCATGTTAAGACTCAAGTTTTTCTTCAGTGTCAAGACTTTCCAGTCTTGACTCTGTCTCTTGTCTCTCTCCACCCCTCCCTCCTTGTCCCTTCCTCTCCTTTGCCCAGTCCCTTTTTACTCCATCTTGCTATGCAGCCCAGACTGGCTGTAAACTCCCAGTCCTTCTGTCTCAGCCTCTCAAGCTCTGTAATTACAGGTATGTGATGCCTTGCCCAGCTTTTGGTTTCTGCCTAACAGCTGGCCTAAGGCAGCAGCTCATCACAGCCCCCTTCCGCTTCCTGTAGCTGCTCCTTCAGTAGATGTTTCCTGGTAGTGAGTCTAGTCAAATGGGCTGTTTTCACAGAGCCTCTCTCTGCCGTCCAAATACCTTTCCCTGAGTATCCTTAAACCAGGAGTGATATTTATTGCATAGAGAGTTACTTCTTAATAATTTCTGTTTGAGTCTAGGTGTTTAGTTTTTGTAGAGTCCATGTTTTATGCTCTTTTTGAGGTCCAAAACTAGTACAATAAGAGTCTCTCTGCCCTTATTGAGAACACAGTTTGGAACTTTCTGTTTTAATCCAAGTAATCTTTCTTAGAAACTTGGATATTGGGTGCCTTCAGAAATGTGGACTAGTTGAACCTGGACTGGAGGCCTGGGGATGACTGGTTGTCAGTGGGGTCATTAGAAATGATAAAAGCAAGGGGAATTTGGTACTATTAAAAATGCCAGAAAGATAGAGGCTGGCCTTTTCTCCCTCAAACCATGCTGTGTGCAGTTCTCTAGAGATGGTGCAGTCCAAATAAACTCAGGTTTTCGTCTTTTGAAAAGGTGAACCAAGTGTATAAAGTAAGGGATATCAATTGTCATTAATTTCTGATGACCAGTCAAGCTCTGGGCAGGACCAGCCTTAGACAACACAAGGGATAGATATGCTGTCTCAGAGTTTTCCCCTCAGGGATAGAGAAGAAGCATCAAGGACTGGACTCAAGGGCTGGAGGGAGAAAGATGGGAGGTAGGATGAGAGGAAACACGTACTGAGGTGGGAGGGCTTGTTTCTCTTCCTGTAGGAGAAATATGAAAGGCTTTTCTGTAGGCACAATTCTAATTCTAGGGAGTGAATAGAATCTGCTTATTTTTGAAATGATTTAGGCTGACATCTTGTTTAATCCGTTCATTTCAATGGCCGTTTTATGCTCAAAACGTGGCAAATTGGACCTTTTGTTGGTGCTCTTCAGGCTTGTCTGATTGCCACTGCCAATGACTCAAATATGAACAGTAACAAAGGAAAGTGTGTATTCTCTTCGGAATTAGAATACCTGGCTGAGAAAAGAAATGATTGAACAGATGCAGTAATTGGAAGGGTAACACACTGGTGTTCTTTTTAGTTCCAAGAGTCATGGGAAATGCTAAAATTAAATACTAGAATTTAGCTCTAAAATTGGAGTGATGGAAGGGCCAATCACTCCATGCACCAAACAGTAGCATATCTGGTCCAACAGCCTTCATGAAATATGTGGTAATAGAGTATAGTCAGCAGAGGCTGAGGAGCAGCTCGGGTGCTATGTCCTGCTGGAACCGTGAATGCACAGAGCTGACACAGATGGTTGGTCTGCTTGGTAAAAATGCTATAAAAATCAGCACCAAAACCACAGTTCGGTGTTGCTTCACTTGGAAGAACGGAAGGCAATGTGGCCAGGGAGGAAGACTGAAGTGATGTACTTTGTTCCATGAAGGAACAAAGATAATTTTCCTAAATGCTGTTGCAAGAGGATGTCTCCTAAGATGACAGATGGTTTTACTATCTCTGAATAAAAGCCCATGCTGGTTAATCTAGGTAAGACAAGCAATCCTTTGCTCTCACCTTGTAGTCTTTTTCAATAAACTTTAAACTGCACTTAGTGAAAATTTTCTGACAAAATTTCTTTCATTCTGTGAAGTGGGGCAGACATCACCATTATACTTTTCTGGAGGAGAAAACTAAAGTCTCAAGAAATTGATCCCAGGTCCCTTAAACGGATAGGAAGACCTCTAGATGTCCAAGTCTCCTTCCTGACTAGCAGGCAGTTCATGAACTCTATGGCTGCTGCTTCCACCGCAGTTCAGGCCCAGAACACAGATCCTTGCAGTGCTGCACATCCACTACCCTCAGGGCCCACAGGTACCTGCAGTGCCATTGTAGCCGCCTATGCGGAGTTTGTACAGGCTTCTGCTGTCCTCCACAGCGAACTTGTCATAATGGGCGAAGGCTGCCTCCTGTCCATCCCTCATATCCACACGCAGCTCGTAGCGGCCCTGGGATGTTATCCTGTGGATGTTGTCCAGCCCTGTGGAGAAGGGCAGACCATGTACTGAGTCTCTTCCCAGCAGCTTTGGCAATGGGAGGGAAATGTGACTGTGACCTTGAAATAAATGCCATGGGGAAAGAGGAGGGGCATCCAAATAACTCTGCCCTCTACCCCCTTAGGCTAGTATCAAAAAGCCCCTGCCAGACTCTGAATCTCTGCCTATGAGGAGGTCAGCCTAGGTCTGTTGAGGAATGTCACCTAAGTCAACACTGGAATCTAACGTTTAGTCTTGACCCAGTAACTGATAAGCCTAAAACCTTAAAATTTCTGGTCCTGTTTCCTACAACCTTCTATGCCAAATTATAACAGTGAGTGATAATTAAAATGTATGATTCCATTGGTGTGAGCAGTAGGAAGCAAGAGTCATAAATATGGGCCAGAGGAATTCAGAGCATCTCAGATACCCAGATATGACAGCATTTCCTAATAGGTTACAGAGGTGTTCAATCCACTTTTCATTGTGCTGTCCTTTTTTCTGTCTACCTCTTTGAGCCTCCCAGAGATGGGTCAGAGAATACAGAGTCCTGGATTTATGATGATTCAACTTTTGAATTTTCCACTTCATAATGGCGTGAAAGCTCTCTGTATTTGGTAAGAAGCTGTGCTTTGCTTGTTTTTTTCTTTCTACTGCATTTTGGTCTTTCCCTGGACAAGGGATACACTCTCCCCTATTCTCTCCGTGTGCTACGAGCACAGCTGCCAGCCAATCACGTGAGCAAAAAGGCAAACAACCACACTCTGTAGTGTAGTGTGTGGCTTACTTGTGATGTTTGGTACATTAGGTATGGGGTATTAAATGCAATTTCAGCTTAATAGTTTCAACTGAAGATATGTTTACCAGGATTTAAACCCCATTATACGTTGAAGAGCATCTGTATTGCTTTTTACCCCCTGACTGTGTTGTCTATCTGCTCTATTTTATCTGTTACTGCTGCCTCTTCACTGTTTTTTCTAAACTCCCACTTAGGTGACCTCTCCTTGGCCTCTAAGCATCCCAGGCCTTGGGCTAAGAGATTCTTGTAAGATAGAAAACCCCATAAGTCCAGAGAGTAGGCAGAATCTAGATCCCCCTTGGTGATATTTTCTCCGATTTTGACCTATACACCTAAACTTTGGACCTTTGATCTTGTGTTGCTGAGGACTTCTGAGTCTTCCTGATTTCTCTCTGCCTAGTGAAGTTGGATCCTTTAGCTTTGATGTGACATCTGCTCTCTGTTATGATTTAGAACTTTTTAAATGGCAGTGGTAAAAGGAAATCCCTCTCTTTGTTTTGTGGAAGAGGAAGCCAAAGTTTAGAGAGGTTAAATGACTGGCTAAACAGGTCTTTGGTTTTATTATCTGTATAAGATTTAAGTGTTTACCTTGATTACAAGTGGAAGGCTGGACTGTTGTTTGTGGAGCTGCTGACCCTAGACTTGTGCAGATGTTATGGTTGCAGGTACTGTTGTGCCTGGATGTCCTTAAATGGCTGGAGGATCTGTTCCTCAGCTGCCAGAAGTATTGCCTGCTAGTGACTCACAGCTCTGACCAAATAAAAGCTACTTCTTCCTTCTCCCACTATGCTTTGGTGTAGACTCTCTGGTCAATGACTGAGGTGTAGGCACTGAAACTTAGCTTCCTTGCCCAGTGGGATCCAACTCTGAGGAGCAATTCATGTTCCAGAGCTTCCCTTGGAGGCAGACTGGTGTGAGTCTTCAGTCAACAACTGGTATTCTAGTTTTCTTCACTCTATCTTGCTTCTTTTAATCCCTTTCTCAGAAAATTTACCCCTAAAACTCACTTGAAAAAGAACTCATCCCAGTAATTCACATGAACAGAGATACTTGGACAAGAATCCTTGTTTTAGGATCTGCTTCTAGAGAACCCAGCTTAGAATATAAATGATGGGGTCATAGGGTGACTGGACATAGCATATTTCTGCCTAACACAGCCTCAGGCCTCTAGTAAGAAGCCCTCCTATAATGACTTGTCTTCATTGTCACCATGATTAGAGTTAGAAGCACATTTGGGCATAAGCCTCTGGGTCTGTATGCAAGGGATTATCTAGATTAGATTAATTGAGGTGGGAAGACCCACCTTGAATGTGGACTGTACCCTCACATGGGCTGGAGTCCTGGACTGAATACAAAGGAAAAAGCTTTCTAATGCAGATGTAGTATGACAACTGCTTCCTGGTCCTGCCATCACGTCTTCCCTGCCATGATAGACTGTACCCTCAAACTATGAGTCAAAATAAACCTTCTTTCTTTAACTGATTTTTGTCAGTTACTTTGTCACAGCTATGGCAAAAGTAACTAATATACCTCACAAGCTCTTTATCACTTACATCATTAAGGCTTCTCTTAACTGTAAGTTCTGTAATGTATCCTTCAGTTAACCCACCCAGCCTCATTTTCTTCCTTCCCTGACTTCTACCTTTCCTCTGCTTGGAGGGGTTTCCTCCGTCTCTGGTTTGCATGTGTCAAAAGGATTCCTGCCTTCCCTCTTCCTGTTCCCTCCTCACCTCCATTCCTCTGACCACCCTTTACTGTTCTAATCATGGCTCTGTTCACTTCTTTCTCTGATACCTGTGGTCTTTCTGTCAGTAGCCCATGGGTTAGGGTTTCCCAGTGTTGGATGGTATCTCTGATGGTTTAAGACATGGAACAAGGCACTAAATAACCTTGAAAAATAGGGGTATTTCCAAAATCAATTTCAGCTTTTCTTAATAGATGAAGCAAAAACCCTAACTCTAACCCTAATCTTAACTCCCAGTCTCAGTTTTGTTCTAATATTTTGTGGTTTTTGGGACGTCACACACTTTCTGATGATTACTTTCAACAGCAGCAGCAGCAACAACAACAATAGACATGGTTTTCCTAAATGTAACTGTCATTTAATAATATTAACCCTGCTTTCTTTTCACTTTTCCATTTATTTATTTATTATTTATTTATTATCTATCTATCTATCTATCATTTATTTATTTATTTTTGGTCTTTTTGAGACAGGGTCTCCCTGTAGCCCCAGCTGTCCTAGAACTCACTATGTAGACCAGGCTGGCCTTGAACTCACAGAGATCCGCCTGCCACTGCCTCCCAAGTGCTGGGATTAAAGGTGTGTGCCACCATACCCAGCACACTTTTCCTTTTTTAAAGGATGTTTTACCTCTCAAGTATTCTTTTATTTATGGTACATGACAAATAGCTTTCCGTTTTGGCAATGGATAAAGCTTCTTTAAAATACATATTTAATTAAATAGAAAGTGATATATAGAACATGTAAGTGTCTGATAGTTTACATATTTCACAAATATGGCAAAAATGTGAAACTGGGGGCTGGAAAGATGGTTCAGTAGTTGAGAACACTGGTTGTTCTTGCAGAAGACCTGGATTTGAATCCCAGCACCCACATGGCAGCTAACAACTGTCCATAACTCCAGGGGATCTGACAGCCTCTTCTGTCCTTCACGGGCATTGCATGACATGGGTGCACTTACCTACATACAGGCAATACACACATACACATAAAAATAATAAAATATTTTTTAAAAAATGTGAAACTTGCACATCATAGTTTAGGTTTTTGTGACATATGTCCTCAGTACTTATGGCTACATTGATTCATGTATGTTACTATCTCCAAGCTGCTTTCAAATGCTTTACAAATAAACACATTTTCCTACTTGTGCTTGACTTCTCTCTCAATGTGCTTATATGTTTTTTTTACCTTACATTTTTATTGCCTACATTGACAAACAGAGACTTGATTATCTAATAGGTACTTGATAAATTCTTATCATTGATTGATTGAGGTATCAGTTATATCTCAGGAACTACTGGGTAGTGGTGTTAGAAAATGAATGATGACTCTAATCCCCAAAGAAACATAAAATAAAGACAGATGAAGTAAAACAGATGTTATGATTTATGACACATGAAGCCTAAATCATAGAGATCATGACCACTTTTTCCATGGGCAAAGGGTGAGAGAAATGGTTAGTATAGTTTCTGTGGAGGAAAAGGTATTTATTGAGTCCTTGAATATATGTAGGTGGACACTAAGGTATAGGAAGGAGGGGACAATCTGCTGAGAGAGGGTTTCTTTCAGGAGAAGTATCAATAGTTCTACAGGTTTGGAGGTGGGTCTTGAAGAAAAGTAGGTCAGGTTCTTAGTGGTGGAGAGCAGGCTCAGAGGGAGAATAGAGGGTCTTGCACCGTGGTCAAGGAGTTTGACTTTCACTTGCTGGTGATGGAGAGACACTGAAAGGTTTTGCTAGGGGTGGGTGTTGTAGTGGTTTGAATGAGAATGTCCCCCACAGGCTCCAAGTATTTGAACATTTTGTCCCCAGTTGGAGGTCTTAGAAGGTCATGCTGGAGGAAGCACATCACTGAGATGGGTAGGGAGAGATGCGCTGCTTAAGAGAATTCCTAAGCCTTGCTGGAAATCTAGTTGCACTCTGCTTCCTATGCCTCCTTGAAGATGTGAGCCTCTGCTTTCTGCTCCTGCTCCAGCCACCTCCTGCACCATGCCTTTCTGCCATGATGGACTCTGATTCCTCTGGAACTATAAGCTCAAATAAACTCTTCCTTTTTTAAGTTCCCTTGGTCACAGTGTTTTATAACAGCAACTGAAAAGTAGCTGATACGGGTGTGTTACCCTTCACTCAGATTCTAGGTATGAGGAGAATCATTCTATTGGCCATATAGTCAATGGGGTGGTCCTGGAGGCAGGGAGCCCTATTAGAAGGTTGTAACTTTGGCATCTGGGGGAAGATGGTGAGGATTGGACAAGGAAGTGGAAGAGGAGGTAGAGAGGAGGCTGTAAATACGGAAAGTGACCATTTGCCTTTCTTCCTGCTCCCCTCTACCAACCACTATGAAAATCTTACAGAGATGTGGGCATTCACATGTTGACTGCTTTATGAATCAGCATCAGCACCATCTGCCTGTCTTGGGTGTGTGTTTACTTACCCACACCTTCTAAACATCCATCTAAACTTCCCTCTGTGTCAGACCTCTAGGAAATTGCCAATCACCTCTAATGTCACTCTCATTTTCCCCCTTTCCCTCCCATGTCAGATAATAACATTCTCCAGGAACTGAGCAGAGGAAGTGTCCTTATTTCTCTCCTGCCCTGCAGGCCAGCTAGCTGGCTGCCTGGCTTTTGAGAGAGGGCCAGCTTGCCTGTTGCTCCCTGTTCCCCATTCCCTACCAGGCAGCTTCCTGCCTTTATAGTTGCCTCATGTCAGGACCCATCAGCATAAAAGACTATTAATGAGGATGGGAAGAGACAGAGCAAAGAGGAAAACACCACAGTCAGATAAAAACAGATCAATAGCAGAGTCAAACAGAGCAAGAGGCACTGAAAGCAATTCACGAGCTGTCAACTTCTCAGCGGACACAGACTTCTGACAATCCCAGATGGACATAGAAAGGGGAGAGATGGACAGAAAGCCAGAGGAGCATGTCCAGGGAGAGCAAAAGGTGGGTGTTACCTAACCAAAACTCGTCCTCTAGATTTCCAAAGCCCATGCGATATTCAGCCCATTTCCGGAAAAAATCAGTTTGACCATTCTGTCGCCTCTGGAATACCTATGAAGAGAAAGGGTTGGGGGAGAATATGCTCAGAAAAATAAACTGTAATGCATAACAGGACTGCGACTGGATTCTGTATCATCAGTGACAAAGATGCCAGGACCATTTCAGAAGGGAGCTTGCCTTTCCCACACAGTTATTGCAAGGGATGCTCAGAGTCCTTTTCCTGAAGTGCTGAGGCCTCTGATGAATAGGTTGGGATATGATATTGATACTAATTTGCACCCCTGCAATATAGAAAAGATTTAGGATACATGTCAAGCTCCAAATAGTCAAGGAAAATATGTCTGACTCTCAAAGTAATCTCCTTGCATCACAGAGAGTAGTAGCAAATATTTCTCAACAGAAGACCTGGACCAACTTCAAATCATCTAGTCAGTTATCATCTCATTGCAAAGCAACTGCATCTCACTCATTTTCCAAGCTGTTTAAGTGCTAACTTCATTTAACTTCTAATAATCAGCTTTAGATTCAGTTTCCAATTATGTTTTAAGAAGGAAACACAGATATGTCAGAAACATAAAATAAAATGTCTCCCAAGAGTGTAAGGAATGCAGCTGCCTTTAACTCTTCAAAAACTACCCATTTTGGACTGTGAAAGCTCCAGCACTGTCTTTAGCAGTACTAGGAGGAGTGTGGACAGGAGGGGTTCAGGAGGCTGGGTTTCTATCCAAATTGATTTAGTCCTGCTGCTTTGTTTAGGAGCCAGGCTACAGGAACTCACCCAGGTACACAGTGGCCTGCCCTGGGAGCCTGCCTGATTTCTTCCATTCTGTACTACCTTATTGGGCATGAGAGGAGGTGGTGTCAGCAAATGGTATCTCTCTCCCAACCACTGTTGCTCCCTGAAGGCTGTGACAGCTCTAGCTAAGAGCCAAGGCTCCAGGAAAGGATGAGAACAGAAGCAGCTCTTGTAACTAGATGGCCATCCAAGTTCTGCCCCTGATCCAGTCCCCCCTGTGCAACTCTCCAATAGGAGGGACCTAACTTCCTTGTCATGGGAGGCTCGTGTGCTTCTGGAGGGTGGCCTCCCAGTTCAGTCCTTGGCAAGCAGGATCCATGTGCTTCTCCAAGTCACTCCTGCTTTTCTCCAGCACCCCTTGCATTCGCTTTGTTTGCAGAAGGAGCCTGAGATAAAGCAGTCATCTGGGGAGGGGGTGTCCTTTTTTGGGCCAGGCCATTGTACCCTCCATATGTGTCTTAGTTTTTATTGTCAACTTGACACAATCTAGAATAACCTGGGAAGAGATAACCTCAACTGAAGAGTTTCTTCCATCAGAGTGGCCTGTGACCATGCCTGTGAAAGATTGTCTTGACTGATGATTGTAGTGAATGGACCCAGCCCACTGTGGGTGGCACTGTCCCTAGGCAGGTGGGCATAGGCTGTGTAAGAAAGCCACTGAGTCAGTAAGCAGAATTCCTCCTTGTTTCTCTTTTAGTTCCTTCCCTCACTCACCTTAGTGGTGGAATGTGAAGTGTACACTGAAATAAATCCCTTCTCTTATTACTTTTGGTCATGATGTTTATCACAGCGACAGAATGAAACTAGAACAATATGGTAATTCCTGTTGCTGCCTGCCCAGATCTGTGAGTAGGTTGCTGAAAGAGGACCCTGAAAGCAGTGAAGAGACTCAAGATGCGTATGAAAGGGCAGCCCAAAGGAATGTGGAGTTCTGATGGGCAGATGCCCAGCTAGGCAGACTAGAACCTCGAGGATGTGCCTACAGTACATACTTACAATCCAGCCACCACCATCTGTGGTCATGTCACAGTATACTTGCAACTTCTGGCTTAGCTCCCCATTGAGGAAGATGGTATAAATTCCACTCAGAGTGTCTCCGTTCATCAAATGCTGTGCACAGTCCTGAGGATGAGAGAACACCCGGCCTCCTGCACAAGAAAGGAAGCAATTAAAAAATTTAAAAATGTATTTATTATTATCAGTGTGTATTATTAATGTGTTGTGTGTGTGTGTGTGTGTGTGTGTGTGTGCGCACGCGCGCACATATACCATAGCACCTGTGTGAGGAAGTCAGACGACAACTTGGAACCAGTTATCTCCTTCTACCACTTGGAACTGGGGAGCAAAGTCAGCCAAATTTCAATGGCAAACACTTTTTTACCCTCTGGCCATCTTACCTGCCCCCAAGCAGTTTTTAGAAATGATCCTTTTCTCCATTATGCAAAAGAGCCCCATGGATCAGAGAAGGTTTTAAAGAGTCTTGTGGTTGGTACTTCCTGAATTGTAAGAAATTCTCAGTGAACCCAGACCTTGTGCAGGTGTGGGAACACTGCATCTTTTCTTTTCTTTTTTTAAAATTTTATTTATTAATTTTTTATTTTATGTGTATGTGTGTATTGCCTGCATGTAGGTGAGTGCACCCATGTTGTGCAATGCCCGTGGAGGACAGAAGAGGCTGTCTGATCCCCTGGAACTGGAGTTCCGGACAGTTGTTAGCTGCCATGTGGGTGCTGGGATTCGAACCTGGGTCTTCTACAAGAACAACCAGTGTTCTTAACTGCTGAGCCTTCTCTCCAGCCCAACACTGCATCTTTTCATTCTCTCTTTGAGCTCATGCTTGACTTATCAGGCAATAGATAGTTCTATGGGATATGAGAACCAAAGAGCTGGGTTTATGGTCTGGTTTCTCTACTTACCTATTTGCTTGACTATAAGCTATAAGCTAATGTCCTGAATTCCGAGTATTGGTTTTCTCACCAGTAAAATGGGGACAATGAAGATTTTCCCTTTGCAGGGTGAAGATGTGTTAATGCCACTAGTGATTATTTACTCAGGAGAGGGTCATAGACCATGGGCAGATGAACCACTCTAGGCTGTAGGAGGAACAGCACCCAAGCAAAACCTTGATCATTAAGGAATGCCCAAAGAAGCTTAGCATTGGCACCAGATGGATTCTAGGCCCTATACAAAACAATTTCCTGATTGTACTAAACAATCAAATGGCCATGTTTTATAGTTCAGTTTAAGCTTAAGGAGAGGTCAGGGGAAGTAAATTGCAGCTCATCTTTCAGTGAGAACAGCTCAATTTGTAGAACAATATCTAATTAGCTGTAAAAGAAGCTTAAATCCCGTGTCTTGAAGAGCTTTGCTCTAAGACAAATTTTGTGCTTGGCAAGCACACCAAGAAGCATCGTTCACCAGAGGGGCTTTTCTGGACTGCTGGGACAGAGAGAACAAGTTAAAGGCAGAGCTTGCCATGCAAAGGATGGTGGCTGGGTGTTCTGTGGAGATCCTGGTGTTCTAGGAAGGGCATAACACTGTTGATACAGTTCTGTGTCCTTGAATTGTGGCAGCCATGAAGAGAGGCTGGAGTGAGACCTTAGGTGTCCATCACCATGGTGCCCTGTAGTGGCAGCACTAGTGCATTCCAGATGTGACACCTAGTCACTGGGAAAGGCAGGATAGTGAATCAGTAAGACACAACATGTAAGAAAGGTGACCCAGTAACTCCCTGGTAGCCCCCACCACAGGTTGTCTGTGAAGCATCCTGTGTGAGGAAAACCCCACTGGAGTTTGGTAGACTTCACGCAAGGTCCCCCTGGAGATGGATTAACTCCCTACCCAAGGACTGCCCTCCAGCTTGCTGCTACAGGTTTGTTGAGGTCAACCTCAAGCATAGTCATACCAAGGAATGATGATATTTTTCCACAGCACTTGTATTTTACAAAGAGTCTTTGTATTTCTATTTAATTCTTGTCAGTCATTGTATTTCTATTTAATTCTTGTATTTCTATTTTATTCTTGTTAGAGCCTGAGTCAAAAGCACCGTGCAGTCTTTTAAAATAAGAAATACAACTGGGGGCTGGAGAGATGGTTCAGTAGTTAAGAGTATTTGCTGCTCTCTCATAGGACCTGAGTTCAATTCCTAGCGCCAATATTGGGTGACTCACAACAACTTGTTAATTCCAGTCCACCTCCAGGGATCTGATGCTCTCTTCTGGTCTCTTTGGGTACATGCACACATGCCATACACACACCACACACAATCATACACACAAATACACTTTAAAAAATCTTTAAAAAGAAGTAGATCTTCTCTCTGTTGCCCCCAGCTGGCCTGGAACTTTCTATGTAGGTTAGGTTGTACTCAAACTCACAGAGATCAGCCTGCCTCTGCCTCTCAAGTGCTGGGATTAAAGGCATGTTCCACTATGCCCAGCCTAGAAGGAGATCTTCTTTAAGGGAGTGACTCTAGATGTGCTGCCTGGACTCTAGTGGATGAACTTGCACAGAGGGACATCTAGGTACAAATGCTTAATCGGATAGGACTTAACATATATGACAGAATACCTGAAATCTGGTGGTGGGGGCTATGGGGGACAGGGAGGGGGTCTAAATTTGATTAAGATCTTATATATAATATATACAAATTCAATAAAAAATTGGGAGAGAAAAAAGATACCTTTAAAAGGAAAGAAATATAGCCTATGCTGTAGTTTTCTGGAAGTCTTCACCTATCTAAGGATTAATTGATATTTGTATTTAGCCTATAAACATATAAAACTCCAGGTGTTGAAGTTACCTCAAAAGGTTTCATGTCCAAATTAAACCCTTTCCCCTCAAAACTGATTTCTTCAGCAGCTGTGGAAAAGCTGTTAATTTTGGTTCCAGCATGTCCTAAAACTTCTTAAAGCTCCACTCCCACTTGTTCCTGAGGCTTAGTTTCACTTTAAGGGACAGGTGTGAATGGCTTCTGTCCCCTGCCTGGGTTGCTTTGGAAACACTGGCCTTATTTCCAGCCTTCTGGGCTATTCCTCACCTGGTCTCTGGAGCAACCAGCATGCCTACTCTTCTCTCCCCTGTCTTCTCTCACTGCCTGTATTCTCATTTCAGATTAGTATGTAATGTTCTTGGTTTCCACCTCACTCCCGCCTTATGCACTAACTCTTATCCCGAAGGAAGATTTCTTCATTAAATCAGTTCAACTTCTTAAAGGAACCAGAACTCTGCATTTCTCAATACCATGGGTTCCCCACAAAAAATCTTCCCCCAAACTTCATTCGAATACACATATAAAACCAAACTAACCTTAAGAATAGGGAGATAAGCAATGTTATATAAGCATCTTCACATCTTTACATGTAGAATACGTTAAGAGACCCCCAAATACTTTATTTATAGTTGCTTTACAACTATACCTAATACAAATGGATGTAATTTGTTGAGATGACTTACTCCAGAGAAGGGGATTTTTAAATCTGAGTAACTGCCATTCACTTTTTTTCAAAAGTTAGAAAGTAAGATCAACTTAAGGAATAAATATTGTTTAAGGGGTGCCAAAGATGGGTAGGCTAAAGGTCTCCAATAACGCTGTGGGAGAGGAAGGACCCTGTGTTCTGCCTTCTGAGCTTCTCTAGTGAGCTCGAGGGGGAGGCATTCACCAAGTATGTGCGAGGCTGCTGCATGTTGCTGGGTGCACTTGTCTTACCCTTGACAAATTACAAGGCCATCTGGCTGTTAATAGATTCGATTTACTGTAATTTAGTCTGTGGCATTAGTGGAAAGACAATCAAGAAACATTTTGCTTTTACAGACTATCAGAAGCAGCAACCCAGTGTTGTCACATGCTGGGAACTTGGAGAAGATGTGACAGAAACTTTTCTCCATCCTGCTCCAGCCTTCAAAGCAGCCCAGGTTTGCCTCACACTCACTAGTCCTTGACCAACTATTATTCCCCTTCATCTGGTAAGAGAAAGCAGATACCCATTAAGTATTCTCAAGTCATGTACTTTATTAAAATTCAGATTCTTGTGTTCCAATCAAAATCTACTAAATCGGAATGCTACTGGGGAGACAGGCTCAGCAGTCAGTGTCTTTTGGCAAAACTCAGATGAATCTGAAGACCAGCTATTTGTGGCACACATTTTTCTCTTCTCAAAAGCCAAGAGGTGAAAATAGCAAACGAGACATGCTTCGGAGGCCTTGTGGTCTGCTCTCCCTGCCTAGGTCCATATGCTTGAGCTGACTCTGCCCGTCTATCTTTTTCTTTCTTTTCTCTTTCTTCTTTCCTTTTTTCTTTGTTTCTTCTTTCTCTCTGTTTCCTTAGTCTCCCCCTTGCTCCCCATCACACACCTCCCTGTCTCCCCCCCCACCTTTCCCTTCTCATCTTCTCTTCTTTCCCAGTAAATGTGTCCAATCACTGTAGGATTCAGTTTGAGTGAGACTGGCCTTGAGTTTAAGCTTTATGTTTCAGTCTTTACCATTTTATTTGTTGCTTTGGAAGTTACTGGCCTTTGGCTCAGCTAACAATTAAAAACTCTTTTATTCTCATTCTGGGCCAATGTGCACAAACTGGACTTCATACATTTTAGAAGATTATCAGGGCAGGTTTTGGGCATTTCCACCTCTCTGGATGTTATGTCATTTAATATAATCAGAAACCTATCTTTAACACTAAAATAGATCATCCCAATTATTTTTCCAAAGATAGAAATTTTAGGACCTGGGAGCTTTTCTTCCTTTTCCTTTTGGTGCAATAACTTGAGCCTGGCTAGACAAGGTGGCATTTCTTTTTTCAAAGCACAATCTGTAGTGATTACCAAGTTAAAAGGAAAGGCAACCTCAAGTGATCGGTACACTGAAGTGTCTCCTGGTTAAGTGTTTCTAGATATAATTGTGAGATCTACAGGCCCAGGGTACTCACCGGAAGAATTGCTCAGAAATTGGTTTGTGTTGGACATCAGAGGCTGCATGCTGAGCAGAGAGCAGCTATCTACACAACACACAGGGCAATCTGCCCGCTCTGTACCAGCAGGGAATGCAAGGAGCCTCTCTGTCCCTGCCCTGCCCTCACTTGTTTTGTATCCTTGGGTACAGTCTTTAAAATGGTCAGATTTAATAGCTCAGGAGAGCACCTGCCTGCTGACTA